TAAGGATTTTATTAAACAATGAAATAAGATAAAATTATATTATTCATTTGGAATCAATGTTTTCCTATTGTTTGGTTGNTCTGCATCTTTATTACTCCATCACAGTGAGTTATAGTGTTTTTTTTTAATTAGGGTGAAAACTCAATTAGCAGTTAATTAAGGATTTTATTAAACAATGAAATAAGATAAAATTATATTATTCATTTGGAATCAATGTTTTCCTATTGTTTGGTTGTGAATTAATGTTCTCCTATTTCCACAACTTTGTCTTCAGATTATTTAAACGTTTCCATAAAAATATCAATAAATAAAAAAATTGATCTATTGAAAAAAATTCACAGACCAACCATCAGGATCATGACCATAAATAATTGTACACAGTGTCTCTCTTCTGCTGTTACTTTCAACCTCTCAACAAGTGCAAATATGTCATTTTTTTAAAACTATTGTGCACATTGAATGCATAATGAATCATTCTTTTCTTTTTACACCTTTATTACTCATCAAATTCATAAGAAATTTGGCATCGATTAATTTAGGTTAGTCTGTATGTAGTAAGTCGTTTTTATCTCTATAGAAAAGAAATCCTATGTCACTATACATTCTTATTATGGCATGCATTCAAATGACTTATTATCCAGATAAGAGGAATAATATCTAAATTACCCAAAAAAATTATACACACAATTGTCTCCTCTCCTGTTATTTGTAATCTCTCAACAGGTACAANCCTTTATTACTCATCAAATTCATAAAAAATTTGGCATCGATTAATTTAGGTTAATCTGTATGTAGTAAGTCGTTTTTATCTCTATAGAAAAGAAATCCTATGTCACTATACATTCTTATTGTGGCATGCATTCGAATGACTTATTATCCAGATAAGAGGAATAATATCTAAATTACCCAAAAGAATTATACACACAATTGTCTCCTCTCCTGTTATTTGTAATCTCTCAACAGGTACAAATTTAACAATTTCTTAAATTGTTGTGTGCACTAAATGCATAGTGAGTCCTTACTTTCTTTCTATACTTTTATCACTCATTCACATTTTATCAAAAATTTGGCGTACATTAATTCAAGTAAGTCTACATATAGTAAGTAGTTTTTATATCTATAAAAGAGAAACCATAAATCACAATACATGCTTATTGTGGTATACTTCAAAACGAATTATTTTTCAGATGAGGGGAACCGCATCTAAATTACCCAAAAAAATTGTAAACACAATAATCTCTTTTCTCGTTATTTACAATCTATCAACTGGTACAAATGTGACAATTTCTTAAACTGTTATGTGCACTAAATGCATAGTGAGTCCTGACTTTCTTTCTACACTTTTATCACTCATTCACATTTTATCTAAAATTTGGTATACATTAATTCAGGTAAGTCTACTAGTAGTAAGTTATTTTTATCTCTATAGAAGAGAAACTTTATATCACAATATATGTTTATTGTGGTATGCTTCCGAACGAATTATTCTCCAGATGAGAAGAACCAGATCTAAATTTTGCATGCTTATCAATAGCTTTGATACATTCTCACAAAATAGAAATCTTGTGAGATTTTTTGTTTATGGGTCATCAAGAGCTTTGAGATAATCACACTATAAAATGAGATTCTTTTTAGAAACAAAGAATCTGAAATATGGTAATTAAAAATTTGATCAATGTTTTTGTCATATTAGGTGTCCTACAGCAGGATGATTACATGAGTCTGGTCCATCTTTTCAATACTCTTATTGTTTGAGTACGACTGAATTTTCAGCCCTGACTTGGGGAGATTGAAACTGTAGAATGGGAACCTTAATTTATTTTTTGATTTTGTCGGTTGTAGATTACTCAGAGTATATTGGTGGAGAACCCATTTCCACGTAGTGAGTCTCACTTGGATTTATGGTCGGATTTAGATCCCAAAGAAAAAATCAGGGAGAGAGAGAGAGAGAGAGAGCATCAATACCAGTTGCGAGGGATATGTGCACAGAAAGGCCATAAGGTATTCAAACCTTAATGTTGTTGCGACTCGCAACTTCGGAAGTGGTCCATTAATAATAGTTGAGTAGTTTCACCTAGCACAATCAGAATGACATTTCTCTGATTATAAACAACCGTCAGTATTGCCCAAGTTTTCTCTAAAAGAACCCATCTTCTAATTGGTATAAAATGCTGGAAACCATAAACTTAGAGAAAAAAAACTGCTGGAAAACCTAAAGAAAATGAGAAAAGGGTACACATAGGGCAAAAAAATTCAAATCCCCAAAGAATCATTGAAATATGAAAGATGCATGGATATACAAAAAGAAGCCTTTTTTTTTTTTTTTGTTAAAGTTGATCAATTAGTTTTTTTTTTTTTATTGTGAACTTAGAGTCTTGAAACATTCTTGAGTTATTTGCAATTAGGGCTAATAATTGAGCCGACCTACGCGAATTTGACTTGGGTAAGATTCGACTCGAGCTCAGCTCGAGTATTAAACGAGTTGAATTTGAACAACTATTTAAGTTAATTTAAAAAATGAGCTAAATTTGAACAATTATTTAAGCTTATTTAGTAAACGAGTTTAAAAGACTTGGCTCGTTTACATATAAAATAGTCAAGTTACTCGAGTTTGGCTCGGATTCAGCTTGTTTTGGACTTGACTCGGGCTCGGCTCATCTTCTAAACGAGCCAAGCGTAAACAATTTATTTGATTTGTTTAGAAAAACAAGCTCGTCAGGCTTGGCTCAATTATCAATCCTATTTGTAATAGTTAAAGGAGAACAACTACTATTATCCTGATAAAATTATTAAATCTAACATAAATTTTAAGGTTACTTTGTATGTTGTTCAATTTTTTATTTGAAATAGCCATTTCAAAGCTTAGGAATTTGAAAGAGAAGGAAACTCTTTTGTGTGATTTGTACCATAGCATATAGTCATGTGGGTTCATTATGAAGTTGAGGATTTGTGGAAACGACAGCATTTACATGCGAGTTTGATTGCAAATAGATATATGGGTCCATTTTATAGCAGAATTGTTCTAAAGAAGATTGCTTTCTGCTAGATTTATCAGCCTTATAGAGTTCTTTGATTGTACTATTATGCAAAAAGGAGGATTTATAGCTTCTCAAATGCTTAGGACGGCATGCTGGGTTGAGTCATGAACTTCTTGTTCGTTTAAATGCTTTTATCTTACGTTTTTCGTCAAGGGATTATTAATTGGTTGGCTAGAATTTGTCATACTTCACAAAAGATAAAGGGAGGTGGACTGGTGGAGGCATGCATTTTGCGTTGGCAGTCACATAGTGTTTCCTTTGTGTTGGGCATTCTCCAACCATAGCATCCTTGGGACTTCAGACTTCTTACCAATATTGGGCAAATGAGAATTTTTGTATCTTTTAGGGGTGAAAATGAAATTTTCCCAGGAGAAATACAAAAGAGACTTCTTCTCATGCAGTCCACTGTCCAATAGGATTGTTAAAAAGTCATATTGTGTGAATATCGTGTTTGACTTATATAGTGTTAAAATTTATTTTATTTATACTCCATTCATCTGTTAGTTGTGTATTGTGTCACGTATAAATTTTATTTTCGTAGTATTTTAACAAGTTTTTGTCATAATTAGCTGGATCTATATCGAATTATTTATTTGATGAGCTTAACGGATCTAACCAAATATAGTTCAAACCAACTAAAATTAAATTTAAATTTAATAATTTCGTATTGATTTTGTATAATTTTATCGAAGATTGAAATTTAACACAACGATAGTTCTATTGTGACATGGACGTCAAAAGTTCAAGTTACAAAAATAATATCTCTACATGCAAGGGTGCTAATCTTTCTTAGACTCCACAATAACCGAAGCCTCGGTGGCCCTTTGTCAAACACTAAAGATAACTCGTGTTTGAAGGTACGGTGTAATGAATTTTAATTTAATGTTAATTTTATGAATTTTAATTTAATGTTAATTTTATGAATTTTAATTTAATTTTATGAATTTTAAATTAATGTTACTTTTATGAATTTTAAATTTATAATTTTGAACTTTAAATGTGAGGTAGAAACTCTTAAAGGTTAGGTTACAACAATTAAATGTTAGATATTAAAAGTTAGGTAAAGTTACCACAACTAAAAGTAAAATTACTATCTTTAAAAGTGATGTTTTAACTATTTGTGGTAAAATTACTACATTTAAGGTTAGGTTACGAATATTTAAAGTTAGGTTATAAGTAGTAAAGGTAATAATATCACAAAAAAATGGTNAGTAAAATTACTATCTTTAAAAGTGATGTTTTAACTATTTGTGGTAAAATTACTACATTTAAGGTTAGGTTACGAATATTTAAAGTTAGGTTATAAGTAGTAAAGGTAATAATATCACAAAAAAATGGTGGGTGAGGTTACAAGTATTTGAGGTGAGTTANAGTAAATGTAATAATATCACAAAAAAATGGTGGGTGAGGTTACAAGTATTTGAGGTGAGTTACAACTTTTTAAGGTAATGTTATTACATTTATAGACAAAGTTATCACTTTTAAAGAATAATATTTAATGACAAAAAATTTATAATCGCACATTTGAATAGTATTAAATGCCAAAAAATTTATGACAACACCTTTTTTTTGGTACCGTACCGCTGTTTGACTAGGTAGTACCGTAGACTCTCCCATTAAAAACTATTCTGATAAATATAATTTTATTAAAAAGTGGATTTATTAAATCCGTTTTTAAATGAAATTGTAATTGTTATATCCGTTTTTTTAAATAAATTTTTATTTAATAATTCTGTTTTTAAATGAAATCACATTTTTAATTTCGCTTTTAAAATTACCGTAATTTAATAAATATATTCAAAAACAACCGTAAATTATATTTAAGTTTTAAAGTTGTCATAGTTTGGTAATAGATTCCCACATACAGCTTTGTGTTGTGCGTGCGTGTTTTTAGAGTGAGAGAGAGACAGAGAGAGTGTGTTCTTCTTTGTAGAGAGAGAAAGCTCGTCGTAGAGTTCGACAATGGAAGGAGAGGAAGTGAGCAACAAACAGATAATTCTGAAGGACTACGTGATTGGATTTCCCAAAGAGTCAGACATGATTCTCAAGACGAGTACTATCAAATTGAAGGTTCCAGAAGGTTCTAATGCTGTTCTGTTGAAGAATCTCTACCTTTCTTGCGATCCCTACATGCGAAATCGCATGAGGAAGATGGAAGGGAGCTACGTCGAGTCCTTCATTCCTGGTTCGGTAAGNTCGCATGAGGAAGATGGAAGGGAGCTACGTCGATTCCTTCATTCCTGGTTCGGTAAGTCATAATTTCAAAATATTATTCTCATTGATTGATTTGCTGTTGTATAAATAATTCTTAATTAATCAATGGCTGTCATTGAAAGTCAAAACTGTGAATATTATTCGGGACATTAAAATGGGGATTGTATGTTATTAAAAACTACTAGGGTTAAGTGCAAATTGGTGATTAAAATGTAAAATTAGGCAAATTTATAGTGATTAAAATGTAAATTTGAGTGCGATGGAGACTCATATCCTGAATTTGAGTAAAAAAAAGTAAAAACAGATTTATTTTTATTTAATTATTTGTTGTTGGCATGTAGAAACTATAAAATAAAGAAAGCAGCAAGAATTTATATAACAGTTCGTATGTAGGACAGGCACACGTGTTATTGCCATCATGTCTTTGACTAATTCTTGTTTCAACTTACATACACGAGATCAGAGATCAGCGACCAGCTATGAACTTTTTACAGTATTGACCAAAAATCCTTGTATACCAGAGCCTAGAAAGTAGGTAGAAGCAATTTACTCCCAATTTGACTAAACTAAATGGGTATTCCAATGTTATCATTGAATTTGGTGCAATTAGTATGAAGGGTTCTTGAAATCCTTCTTTTTTAGGATCGATTGGTTAAAATTTGCTTTGAAGCTCAATAGTCATTCAGAATAGATCCGGCAACAGAGCAAACCCTTTGGTGCTTACTTGTCTAGCTAAACTGATACTTCTAAAGTCAGTACGTTCAATGACATGAAACATGCCTTGTATAAACTATTCTTATTTTCTACTTTATAATAGTTATTTCTGATGCACTTTCCTTGATGATATCTTTTAAACTATATTAAAGGGCTTTTCCGACCCATTGACATCTCATGGAACTTCTTAACAAGACACTCATGGAGACTTCATTCAATGGTTTCCCACATATTATATAAAGATCAGATGAATCAAAATTCCATGCTTTTGCATGTTAAGTGTATTGTGTGGATAATATGAGAAATGACTAGAGATGTGTTTGCAGTGCCTTCAACTCTCCATCTTCATACAGTGTATATTTTCAGTATACCAGCTGACTTATGGGCCGAAGTTGTTCTGCATGCTTAACTAACAACCATTAATATCCTATCAATAGCATCAGTTAATTAGGTAGGACAACCATTAATAGGCCTATCTTGGTAAATGCCTCCTGAAAGATCCTTTAAGTGAGACTACGAAACTAGTTAGTTAGGTGAATCAGTGATCAAACATCTAACCCAGTTATTTATCAGAAGAAAAAATAAACAGATATTTTTATAGTCTCTGCAATTTGTGTTCCAGTATATTCTATCTTGATGATGTATTGTGTGGCACCATCACATCATTCGAAACTTATACGAAAATCCACTATGTACTCACTGCAACAAGTGTTATCATTGTAAAGGTGTAATTATGGCCTTCGTGTGCCTCTCATAAATATTCTACAAAAAGCCAAAACCATGAAGGTGGCAAGAGGGGCTCCTTTTTTGCAAATTACTGTTGTTATTATTCTGGTATAGATGATATTTTGACTGTATTCATGTGTAAAGGCAACAATCCCCACAACCGGTTAAGGTAGATATAAAACAGCTGATTGTTATGCAATCTGAGGTGACCTCAAGTTGATTCAAACACTATGCATTAAAACTATAGAAGCCATTGATTAGCAAAATGTAGAACCATTGGTAGATAAGGAAAAAGGTGATATTGTGCAGTTTTTTTTTAGCCAACTCAAAAGGCAAATCATTGAGTGTCTATCATAGTGAGGAATTTCAAATACCTCACAGGGAACAATGAGCTTTTGTTGTTCTTGAGTTTTGGTCTTGTTGTCGTACAGCCTATAACTGGATATGGAGTGGCCAAAGTTGTGGATTCTGGGCATCCAAACTTCAAAAAAGGTGACTTGGCTTGGGGGAAAACTGGATGGGAAGAGTACAGTCTCATTCCAACTCCAGAGGTTTTTTTCAAAATTGGACATACAGATGTGCCACTTTCCTACTATACAGGAATTCTAGGTAAGTTAAATCTTATTGCAAAACATGCCACTTCTATTCCAGAGATGTTTCTCATGTTTGTTCCTTCTTCAAAAATTTTTGTCTGTAAGCCTGGCTAAGTTCCTGACAGCTGAGCTCAGTTCAGCAGCATTGGGGCTGTGCTCAAGCTTGCCTGGAGCTTGCTGTTTATAATTTCTCGAATGACTCTTTTGTCCAAACCTGGAATATGATACTGGTAATTAAAGGTAAAAAAATGACAAAGAAAAAAAGTGCAAAACTTGAGTAACTGAAGCCCACCCTACTAAACATGTGAGAGCATGGAGTGAAGCATTATGCCTTTCTATGTTATTAATACTTCAAAGAAACCAGGAAAAAAAAACAATCTTGAAGAGGAGAAACATAATATGCCTTGTACAGCAAAAAGAAGCTTCCTTTATTAGCTTATTTTGGCCCATTTAGAATTCTGGAAGGTTGACTTCCATATCTAATGGGAATGCTTATAGCTGCTTATCAAAAACATGAATTATGTGTGAGAGTTAGACGCAAGAAAAATGCAAGAGATCTGAAGGTTGTCTTGCAATATAAATTGCTGACTTTAGACCTGGTGTCTTGTCTGCTTCCAGGATGAAGTCAGTCCATTCAGCAAAGTCTCTCATTTTACCACCGGGTCCTATGACATTCTATTTCGCTTAGATGGCTTGTGAAAATTACAGATTTTGCAATAATGTAGATTGTGAAATGACTTGATTATAATTGATATCATCAAGGATAAACCTCTTATGAGTAATTTGCATTAATTTTTTGCGTCATTCTTTCTTCTGTGAGATGTTCGATGCTGCTTAATTTTTGTTTTTTCCTATTTATTCAGTCTAGGCAGGATTGGACTCTAATATGATTATATTGAATTGTACCTCATAGGAATGCCTGGAATGACTGCTTATGTTGGCTTTTATGAGATTTGCTCTCCTAAGAAAGGAGAGTATGTCTTCATTTCAGCAGCATCTGGAGCAGTTGGCCAGCTTGTTGGGCAGTTCGCCAAATTGATGGGCTGCTATGTTGTTGGAAGTGCTGGAACCAAAGAAAAGGTATGACCCACTGGAAGTGTTCACTGTGTCAATTTATTGGTGAATACTCGTTAGTGTCTGCTGTAAGTGGGAGCTTCTAGTTTGAGCTGTCATTAACGGTGTGCATCATTGAAATAAGTGGGTATTAAGAATATTAAATGCTGCTTTCATTGTGGTGCCTTCCTTTTGGTGCTCCTCAATAATTTGTTTGCTTCTGAAGTATACCAGTCAACACATAATTGCACTATCGATTGTTTGATTGTTGAATTTTTTTTTTTAATGGAGCAATAGGCTGGACCAGAATGGCAATTCCATTAACCAGCTTCTCTTGATGTGCTTGCCCTTCCTTCTTGTTACAGGTTGATCTGTTGAAGAACAAATTTGGGTTTGATGCGGCTTTTAACTATAAAGAGGACCAAGATTTAGACGAAGCTTTGAAAAGGTTAGTGTTTGTAGATGCTCTCAAAGGTCAATGTAATGCAACCAGAAACTTCCTACCAAATTATGTGAATCAGAATGATGTAGTCCACTAGCTTCATTGCGATTCAAAATGCCTACAATATTTTCCTCCATATAGGAATTCTTCCAAATAAACTACTATGGTAACATGAAGCCTTAGAATCTATAATGTTCACCATGGAGAACAGAAATGCTTGTTGGATAAATTTGGATGTCCTGGACTCTCTGTGAAGTAAAGCATGGCGGAAGTCAATACGACTCCACTGTACCTTTTATCTAGAGTAGGGTGGTCAGATTAATTGCATGGCTTCTGAGTTTGTAGACGAGCTTTGGTGCATCGTTAAGGTTCCCCCATTGTGACCATGCGGGGATAAGGCTGCATGTATCACCCCTCCAAAACGCTGTAGTGGCGGGAGTCTCGTGTACTAGGCTGCTTTTTTACATGTATTTTTGCAATACTTTTATGTAGATGCATACGGTTTAAATGCTACTTTCCATCTCGATTTTTCTGGGATAAGTATCTATCAAAATTATCCATCTATGTGTTCTTTTGTTTCCCAGGTACTTTCCCAATGGCATCGATATCTACTTTGAGAATGTTGGAGGAAAGATGCTTGACGCAGTACTCTTGAACATGAGAATCCATGGTCGCATTGCTGCATGTGGGATGATCTCACAGTACAACCTTGAACGGCCTGAAGGAATTCACAACTTGTTCTGTCTTATTCTAAAACGGATCCGTTTGGAAGGATTCATAGTTAATGATTATTATCACCTTTATCCCAAGTTCCTGGACATGATTCTACCTTACATAAAAGAGGGGAAGATTGAATATGTGGAAGATATAGCTGAAGGCATTGAACGTTCCCCGGCAGCTTTGGTTGGGCTCTTCTCCGGCCGCAATGTTGGGAAACAGGTCGTGGTTGTTGCTCATGAATGATGCACTTCACTTCACTACAAGTTCCTTGGCGTTGTCGTTTGAAATAGTACACTCCATGGCATGTGCTTTTTCATGATTGTACTACTGCGTTTGGTAAACAATAATATTTTTGTATCATAGTATACTAGGATGAACTTAGAAATTGAATGGAATATGCATTTCCATCTAATGTATAACAACAATTAGTATCATGTATTGGAATAGAATTGAAAATCTATTCAATTCAAATATTTGGATGCTTTTGATGACATTCGAATAATACAGCCATTTTTTATGCCCCAATGTCGAAATCTCAAACTAGGACTCACCCCAGATCCGAACCATGGTCTAGAACCGAGACCTGGCAGTGAACTCAGACTTGGCCTTGACCTAGATTCGAACCCTAAACCAGGCCCGAATCCTGAATTCGGGTGATGGTGATGGTGATGGTGATGGTAGTTGGTAATAGAAAGTATAACATCATATTAAGGAATGACAAATCTTAAATTGTTGGAATTAGGCATTCTATAATAATTTGAATGAATTTTGACTGCATACCCGATCAAACATTGAAATGAACATTACTTAGCTGGGGTCATTCTATTCCCATGTGAATGTCTGTTCTTTTTAGGGGTGTTAGTCAAGATGAGCTACTCAGATTTAGTTTAAGTTCAATTCGGATAAGTCTCGGCTCGAGCTTGACTCATATTTTAAACGAGTTGATATTGGACAATTTTTTAGGCACATGTCAAAAAACGAGCCTAGAAAAAATTCGCAAAACAGTTTGTATATAAAATAATCAAGTTATTCAGATTTGGCCTGAGTTCAGACTTAGTTCGAGTTCCAAAAGAAGTCAGCTTGACTAATTTTTTAGACTCGTTTAAAAGAAAATAAGTTCAACACATTCAAGATCAAGCTTGTAAAATTCGACTCGATTAACACCTTTGATTAACACCATTAGTTCTCTCCGGTTGAACGGTTTTGATTCCAAGAGGCAATTTTTTCAAAAATAGTTAATTACAAAATGCCCCCTCAAGTTTGTAATTGCATCAATTAACCCATTTGCCGTTAATTCTTACTGTAAAAAATGGACCGAAGTTGGCCACGTGAGCTTAAATTCCATTAAAAGACAAATTTACCCTTTTGATCCCTTATTTTCTAACCAAAAACAAATGAAAAATATCTCAACACCCCTTTTAGGCAAACAACCCTTCGATAACCCATCACCGTCCTTGACCTTCGCCCCCTTCCACCTTCTCCATTGAGCCTAACTAGTAACCACCGTCGCCCAATAGTTCACAACTTTTTTCGGGATTTTGATCGAAGCTTCATTGGTGGTAGTTGTGCTACATTGGCAGCGGTGATGAGGGTTAGAAATGTTTGGAGCATTCACAATGGCCTATTCTCTTTTTCTTTTTTCCCACAATCTTTTTTTCTTTGTTTGGCTGGTGTCTGGGGACGGTCTTTTGGATCCAATGGCAGTGATGTTGATAAGGAATTAGTGGGTAGCATTGGTGTTTGCTGCCAGTGAACGTTGGGGATGGTGTTGCTAGTTTGAAAGAGACCTTGTTGGGTATTAATATAGGGTTTTTTAGGCGTAGATACAATTTTCAATACTTATTTAAGTAAAAGTGTACGGAGAAGTGGTTTATTCTATTAAATATAATTTTTTATAAAATTTTTTATGTTTAGGTACAAAATTCAAATAAATTAAAATATTTTTTACTTAAACATCCTTCCTTATTTTATGCAGTCATGATTGACAGTTATTTTAAGAAATAAATATGTAAAGAATACATATTTGTTATCTTTTTTAATTTTTGAATTTGAATGAGCAGTTTTGTGAGAGATTTATGAATCTATTGACAGTTATTTTAAGAAACAAATATGTAAAGATTATACATTTGTTATCTTTATTTTTTTGAATCAAATGTATGTGTTCAACTGATAAGTCTTCTTCAACGTGTTTAACTGATAAGTCTTTTTCAACGGCGATTTATTTCTCCGGTGGTGGTTTTCTTTAGAAAAAGAAATGCAAATACCAATCATCATCATCGGATTAAAGGTGAATTGTTCATAATTATATTTCTTTCTTTTTTGGTCATTTTTTTTGAGAATTTTCTATGTTTGATTTTTGTTTTACGTTCGTTTCTTCTTGAAATAGGGGGAAAAAATTGTTTTGATCTTAAATGGGTGTAACTGTTTCTTATTGGTGTGACTATTTTTAGTATAGACAAAATAATTATATTTCTTCTAGAATTCGATCCTTTTTTTTTTTTGGGAAATTCATATGTTCGATTTTTGTGTATGTTTGGTCCTTGTTGGAATGAAGGGGATAAAAAAAACTGTTTTTGAGTTTATTATTTTTTGTTTTATGTTGTTTTTTTTTTGGTCAAGTTGTTCGTTATTGAGATGAAGGGGGAAAAAAATTGCTCTGATTTTTAATGGGTGTAACTATGTTTCGTATATACAGTAATTGTTGTGTAACTATGTTGAAAAAAAAAAAGACTGCTTTAGTTTTTAATGGGTGTAACTGTTTTGTAATTGGTGTAATTATTTTTTGTATAGGCAGTAACTGTTGTATAACTGTGCTGAAAAAAAAAACTGTTTTGGTTTTTAATGGGTGTAACTGTTTTTTAATGGATGTAACTGTTTTTTGTATAAATAATAACTGTTGTATAACTGTGTTGAAAAAATTAGAGTTGTTTTTTAGTATAACTGTTCTTGAATGCAAGTTTTCAACCAATGTCTATTTTTGGTAGATATTGTATATTGTAATTATTTTGTGTTTATGTTTTCTCTCGGTGTGTGATTAATTAATTCAGTCATTTGTATTAATGTTTTTTTATGCTGTTATGTGTAACTGTTTTTTTTTCCTTTTGAATTGCTACAATGTCATTCATTTTTTTAATTAATGTTTTAATCAAGAATGAAGGGATGTCTTCATCGGATGGGATGTCCCGTTGCACTACAACTTGCTGCATGAAATCATCATGAAAGTCCCAATTAACTCATACTGTAAATAATTACCAAAAACAGTTACGCCATAAAGTTATAACATAGTAGATAGTACAAGAGTTATCACAAACTACAGTTTTGAATATAAACTGTCTATATTTGAATTCAAAATAGTTACTTAAAACAATTACGTAACTAGTTTTAATCAAAAAAATCATGAACCATAAAGTTCCCAATAGCAGACTTATAAGAACTGAATCCTTAAAATCGGAAAAATAGTTACGCAACACAGTTAAACCCATTAAATTTTGAATATGAACTGTATATATTTTGAATCCCAAATAGTTACTTTAAACAGTTACGTAACTATTTTTAATCAAAAAAATCATGACCCATAAAGTTGTCAATAATACACTTATAAGAATTGAATCCTTAAAATCAGAAGAATAGTTACGTAACACAGGTAAACCATTAAATTTGGAATATAAACAATTTATATTTGAATCTCAAATAGTTACTTAAAACAGTTACATAACTATTTTTAATTAAAAAAATCATGTTCCAAATTATTTTTTTTTAATATACATATGCTATAATAGATTTGCAAATTCTTAATATATTTTACAAAATTAAGGTTTTACAATTTGGTTTTATTTTTGAATCAACTTACACAGGTTTATGAAAAAAAACTAAATAATCAATGACTGAAAAAAAAAAAAAACAGATATGGGATTTCTATATGGTTTTATTTTGAATCCCTCTGCCGAAGAAGTTGAGTTTTGATAATTAAACCCCCTATTTTACCTCCCACTTGATTTTAACCAAAAAAAAAATGGATATGGCATTCCCATGGCTATAGAATCCCTTCTGACGAAGAAGAAGGGATTAGATAATTAATGGTCATATTTTTTAGCTCCTATTTTTTAACTCCCATTACTTGATTGTAGCCAAATTTTTTTGTAGAAATTCAAATAGTTTCAACCCATTGCACTTAACCGAATGACAATAGTGTCATTTTTTAAAAATATGCACTTTACCCTAAATAAGTTTTTGTGTTATACTTTTACTTAAATAAGTCTAAAAAATTGTACCGACTTCTAAATCACCCTATTAATGTATTCTTTAGGGCTTTGTTTTTTAATGTGTTTGAGTAGGAAGAGAAAAAAGAGAATATATTAAAGGTTGATGTTATTTTAGGAATTTTATATCTTCCATCCATTTTTGTGAGTCAATTTAAATCCTGCGAAAACTTTAGGGGGCAAATTGTTTAAATTGAAACCACAAAGAGTTGATTGCAACATAGCCTATATTTGGAGGGGACATTTTGTAATTAACCCTTTTAAAAAATTGCATCATTATCTTAATCCAAGTTTCAACTTCTGGATCCTTTTTTGTCCATATTCGGTATAGTTTTCCATATTAAAGAAAAATTTTGGGACCCCCAATTTTAACTTATATTGTAATTTTAAATACAATTTATGAACCAATAAAAAAATTAACACGACATTAATGAGTTTGTCTTAGTAGATTTGGACGATAAATTGATGAAATTATTTGACCCCTTAAATTAGAAAGTGGGTATAACCCCCAACGAAATGCAACACAAACTCATTAAATTATACATGATTATAAGTATAACAGACATATATTGAGTAAATTCTGACACGACACGATACGATACGATCGAATGATTATTATTATATTACCTTTATTTTTTTAACCTTACTTATGTTTTTGTAAATACAAAAAAAAATGAGTTATCTCGTTGCACAATACTTTTAATTTATTACAATCAAAATCAATTGACTGATTAATTATTTATCACCTAATTTTCATAAATTATATTTTTTTCTTAAATTAAATCTGAGATCTTTTTTTTATTTGGATATGATTTTTGCTCAATTATTTTTTTTAAATACACAAGAAAAACTCACAAAATGACATAAAAACATAGACTTTGAGTAGTTTTTAATTCAAAATCCTTACTGACATTGATTTTTTTTTTCTTTATATTTTTAATTGATAATAGATTTAATTATATTTTAGTCTCCAAATTCAACTTCAATTAATAAATTTTTTATAACTAAAGTTTGAATTCAAAACTAGTAGATTTACATCTCAAATACAAGAAAAATATTTTTTAAATGAATATATATTAATATATTAGTATTTATTTTAATATATTTTTATTATTATATTCCATTACATTGGGCCCCTCTAAATTGGTTGGGCCGCTCTTCTCTCCAATTCCAAATGGCACTCTCACCACAATGTCCACATTCCAATACATACAATTAGGATTGTCAAAAAATTATAATGTGTGAATATCGTATTTGACTTATATAGTGTCAAAATTTACTTAATTTCTACTATATTTATCTTTTAGTTGTGTATTTATTATATTTGTGTCAAATATATAAACTCTATTTTTGTACTATTTTAACAAGTTTATATCATATTTAGTCAAATCTAAATCAATTCAGTTATTTGATAAGTTTAACATATTTAATTATTAATAGTTCAAACTCATTAAAAAATTTTTTTTATCAAATATTGAAATTTGACGTAATATGGCATGAACGTCAATGGTTCAAATCACAAAAATAATCGCTCTAAATGCAAGGATAAAAATACATACAACAAACCTTTCTTAGAATCCCCAATGATGGGAGGCTCAGTGGCACTTTGTCAAACATTGAGAGACTATACAATAATACAAATACATTTGGATAAACAAAATCCTACTTACATCTCTCTCTCTCTCTCTCACTCAATCTCTCATTCATGAGTTTAAAGTTCATTACACATTGAAAAATAGCATAACCATAAAATAACATAAACCCTCTTTATTTTTTAGAAAAATGGCATAGCCATAAAATATCATATATATTTTATAATAAGTTTGTAAAGCCCCTACTGAATGTTTTCCATTAGGACCCTAAAAATTATAACTTTTTATAGTGTAAATTGTAACTTGCAAAGTACATGATCAATCCTAAAATATTATAATTGATCATAGAAGTTATAATTTTTAAAAATCAAGTTACAACTCATAAAGGAGAACATACAGTTGCATAAACTTTCATCAACCAATTATAATTTTACTTTTTAAACATGTAACTTTATCATTAAAAATAATAATTTTCAGTACGATATAAAATTTTTTGTAGTACCATACCTAGCGGTGGTAAACGATTTAAGCTACTCAAAGATTTACTCATATTCAATTTGTTTTCAATTTAACTCGAACTCGTTCATTTAAAAAATGACCTGAATTTGAACAAATTTTTAAATTTATTTAAAAAATAAATTCTATAAACTTGGCTTAAGTTCCTAAAATTTTATTTATTTATATAAAAAATAATTAAATTATTTATACTGGATTCGTTTAGAATTTAACTCGGTTTAAAAAATGAGTAGAACGTGAACAATTTTTTAGAATTATTTCAAAAAACGAGCTCAGGTCAAATCTCAAACTCTTCCCATTATAAATTCACGAACCTTCCAATCTTTCACATTTATTCACACACGACACACATTGTATAGATACCCACATTCACACTTATACATACAGCTCTGTGTTGTACGCGTTTTGAGAGTGAGTGACAGAGAGAGGCAGAGAGAGTGTGTTCTTCTGTGTAGAGAGAGAGAGATCGTCGTAGAGTTCGACAATGGAGGGCGAGGAAGTGAGCAACAAACAGATAATTCTGAACGACTACGTGATTGGATTTCCCAAAGAGTCGGACATGATTGTCAAGACGAGTACTATCAAATTGAAGGTTCCAGAAGGTTCGAATGCTGTTCTGGTCAAGAATCTCTACCTTTCTTGCGATCCCTTCATGCGACCTCGCATGAAGAAGATGGAAGGGAGCTACGCTGAGTCCTTCACTCCTGGTTCTGTAAGTCAGAATTTCAAAATATTCTACTCATTGATAGATTTGCTATTGTATAAACAAATCTTAATTAGTCAATGGCTCTCGTTCAAAGTCAAAACTGTGAATACTATACCGGACATTGGACCCTAATCATTTGGGGATCGTATGTTATTTAAAACTACGAGGGTTAAGTGCAACAGGGGCTTCTTTTTTGCAAGTCACTGTTGTCATTTTTCTGGTGCAGTTGATCTTTTGACTGTATTCATGTATAAAGGCAACGATCTCCGCAACCGGTTAAACGGCTGACTGTCATGCAATCTGAGGTGACCTCAAGTTGATTCAAACACTTTGCATTAAAACTATTGAAGCCATTGATTTGCAAAATGTAGAACCGTTGGTAGATAAAGGGGAAATTGTACAGTGATTTTTGAGCCAACTCAGAAGGCAAATCATTGAGTGTATATCGTAATGAAGAATTTCAAATACCTCACAGTTCTTGAGTTTTGCGCTTGTTGTCATACAGCCTATAACTGGATATGGAGTGGCCAAAGTTGTGGATTCTGGGCATCCAAACTTCAAAAAAGGTGACTTGGTTTGGGGAGTAACTGGATGGGAAGAGTACAGTTTCATTACAGCTCCAGTGGCTTTTTTCAAAATTGGACATACAGATGTGCCACTTTCCTACTATACAGGAATTCTCGGTAAGTTAAATCTTTTTGCAAAACATGCCAATTCTATTCCAGAGATGTTTCTTGTGTTTTTCCTCCTTTAAAATTTTTTGTCTGTAACTTGAGCCTGGCTAAGTTCTTGAGAGCTGAGCTCAGTTCAACAGCATTGGGGCTATGCTGAAGCTTACCTTGAGCTTGCTATTTAGGTTAGAAGAGCTCTCAAGCTGAGCTGACTCATTTTTGTTTTTGTAGGATTTCTTGGGAAAATTGCTATTCATATTTGATTGGGTTGTATGTGTACAATTACTGTTGGAAGTTCACCTACTAAAATCTACCAATCCAGAGTTTTACACTTAAAGTGATTTATTGACTTATAATGGTTCGAATGACTCTTTTTGTATAAACCTGGAATATGATGCTGATAATCAAAGGTAAAAAGAAAATGAAAAAAAAAAAGAAGTGAAAAACTTGATAACTGAAACTCACCCTACTAAACAAGTGAGAGCATGGAGTGAAGCACTATGTCTTTGTTTGTTACTAATACTATGCACCAAAGAAACCGGAAATAAAAAGAAAAACAATCCTGAAGAGGAGAAACATGATCTGCCTTGTACAGCAAAAAGAAGCTTCCTTTGTTTAGCTTATTTTGGCCCATTTAGAATTCTAGAAGATTGACTTCCATATCTATTGGGAATGCTTATGGCTGTTTATGAAAAACATGAATTATGCTTGAGAGTTTAGACATAATAAAAAAATGCAAATCTGAAGGTAGTCTTGCAATATAAATTGTTGACTTTAGATCTGGTGTCTTGTCATTCAGCAAAGTCTCTCATTTTACCACTGGGACCAATGGCATTCTATTTCGCTTTGATGGATTGTGAAAATTACAGATTTTGCGTTAGTGTAGTATTTGAAATGACTTGATTATAATTGAGATCATCAAGGATACACCTCTTATGAGTAATTTTCATTAATCTTTTGCATGATTCTTTCTTCTGTGAGATGTTCGATGCTGCTTAATTTTTTTTTCTTATTTATTCAGTGTAGGCAGGATTGGACTCTAATATGATTATTTTGAATTGTACCTCATAGGAATGCCTGGCATGACTGCTTATGTTGGATTTTATGAACTTTGCTCTCCTAAGAAAGGAGAGTATGTCTTCATTTCAGCAGCATCTGGAGCAGTTGGCCAGCTCGTTGGGCAGTTCGCCAAATTGATGGGCTGCTATGTTGTTGGAAGTGCTGGAACCAAAGAAAAGGTCTGTCTCCCTGGAAGTGTTCACTGTGTCAATTTATTGGTGAATACTCGTTAGTGGCTGCAGTAAGTGGCAGCTTCTAGTTTGAGCTGTCATTAACAGTGTTCATCATTGAAATAAGCAGCTTTTAAGAATATTAAATGCTGCTTTCATTGTGGTGCCTTTCTTTTGCTGCTCCTCAGTAATTTGTTTGCTTCAGAAGTATACCTCTCAACACATAATTGCATTATCGATCGTTTGATAGTCGAATTTTTTTTTTATGGAGAAATAGGCTGGACTAGAATGGCTATCCCATTAACCAGCTTCTCTTGATGCGCTTGCCCTTCCTTCTTTTGGTGCTCCTCAATAATTTGTTTACTTTAGAAGTATACCTGTCAACACATAATTACATTATCCATCGTTTTATAGTTGAATTTCTTTTTTATGGTGCAATAGGTTGGACCAGAATGGCCATCCCATTAACCAACTTCTCTTGATGCGCTTGCGCTTCCTTCTTGTTACAGGTTGATCTGTTGAAGAACNGAAAAATTTTGGGACCCCCAATTTTAACTTATATTGTAATTTTAAATACAATTTATAAACCAATAAAAAAAATTAACACGACATTAATGAGTTTGTCTTAGTAGATTTGGACAATAAATTGATGAAATTATTTGACCCCTTAAATTAGAAAGTGGACATAAANAAATTAACACGACATTAATGAGTTTGTCTTAGTAGATTTGGACAATAAATTGATGAAATTATTTGACCCCTTAAATTAGAAAGTGGACATAAACCCAACGAAATGCAACACAAACTCATTAAATTATACATGATTATAAGTATAACAGACATATATTGAGTAAATTCTGACACGACATGATACGATACGATCGAATGATTATTATTATATTACCTTTATTTTTTTAACCTTACTTATGTTTTTGTAAATACAAAAAAAAATGAGTTATCTCGTTGCACAATACTTTTAATTTATTACAATCAAAATCAATTGACTGATTAATTATTTATCACCTAATTTTCATAAATTATATTTTTTTCTTAAATTAAATCTGAGATCTTTTTTTTATTTGGATATGATTTTTGCTCAATTATTTTTTTTAAATACACAAGAAAAACTCACAAAATGACATAAAAACATAGACTTTGAGTAGTTTTTAATTCAAAATCCTTACTGACATTGAATTTTTTTTTCTTTATATTTTTAATTGATAATAGATTTAATTATATTTTAGTCTCCAAATTCAACTTCAATTAATAAATTTTTTATAACTAAAGTTTGAATTCAAAACTAGTAGATTTACATCTCAAATACAAGAAAAATATTTTTTAAATGAATATATATTAATATATTAGTATTTATTTTAATATATTTTTATTATTATATTCCATTACATTGGGCCCCTCTAAATTGGTTGGGCCGCTCTTCTCTCCAATTCCAAATGGCACTCTCACCACAATGTCCACATTCCAATACATACAATTAGGATTGTCAAAAAATTATAATGTGTGAATATCGTATTTGACTTATATAGTGTCAAAATTTACTTAATTTCTACTATATTTATCTTTTAGTTGCGTATTTATTATATTTGTGTCAAATATATAAACTCTATTTTTGTACTATTTTAACAAGTTTATATCATATTTAGTCAAATCTAAATCAATTCAGTTATTTGATAAGTTTAACATATTTAATTATTAATAGTTCAAACTCATTAAAATTTTTTTTTATCAAATATTGAAATTTGACGTAATATGGCATGAACGTCAATGGTTCAAATCACAAAAATAATCGCTCTAAATGCAAGGATAAAAATACATACAACAAACCNTTCAGTTATTTGATAAGTTTAACATATTTAATTATTAATAGTTCAAACTCATTAAAAAATTTTTTTTATCAAATATTGAAATTTGACGTAATATGGCATGAACGTCAAAGGTTCAAATCACAAAAATAATCGCTCTAAATGCAAGGATAAAAATACATACAACAAACCTTTCTTAGAATCCCCAATGATGGGAGGCTCAGTGGCACTTTGTCAAACATTGAGAGACTATACAATAATACAAATACATTTGGATAAACAAAATCCTACTTACATCTCTCTCTCTCTCTCTCACTCAATCTCTCATTCATATAAGTTTAAAGTTCATTACACATTGAAAAATAGCATAACCATAAAATAACATAAACCCTCTTTATTTTTTAGAAAAATGGCATAGCCATAAAATATCATATATATTTTATAATAAGTTTGTAAAGCCCCTACTGAATGTTTTCCATTAGGACCCTAAAAATTATAACTTTTTATAGTGTAAATTGTAACTTGCAAAGTACATGATCAATCCTAAAATATTATAATTGATCATAGAAGTTATAATTTTTAAAAATCAAATTACAACTCATAAAGGAGAACATACAGTTGCATAAACTTTCATCAACCAATTATAATTTTACTTTTTAAACATGTAAATTTATCATTAAAAATAATAATTTTCAGTACGGTATCAAATTTTTTGTAGTACCATACCTGGCGGTGATAAACGATTTAAGCTACTCAAAGATTTACTCGTATTCAATTTGTTTTCAATTTAACTCGAACTCGTTCACTTAAAAAATGAGCTGAATTTGAACAAATTTTTAAATTTATTTAAAAAATAAATTCTATAAACTTGGCTTAAGTTCCTAAAATTTTATTTATTTATATAAAAAATAATTAAATTATTTATACTGGATTCGTTTAGAATTTAACTCGGTTTAAAAAATGAGTAGAACGTGAACAATTTTTTAGAATTATTTCAAAAAACGAGCTCAGGTCAAATCTCAAACTCTTCCCATTATAAATTCACGAACCTTCCAATCTTTCACATTTATTCACACACGACACACATTGTATAGATACCCACATTCACACTTATACATACAGCTCTGTGTTGTACGCGTTTTGAGAGTGAGTGACAGAGAGAGGCAGAGAGAGTGTGTTCTTCTGTGTAGAGAGAGAGAGATCGTCGTAGAGTTCGACAATGGAGGGCGAGGAAGTGAGCAACAAACAGATAATTCTGAACGACTACGTGATTGGATTTCCCAAAGAGTCGGACATGATTGTCAAGACGAGTACTATCAAATTGAAGGTTCCAGAAGGTTCGAATGCTGTTCTGGTCAAGAATCTCTACCTTTCTTGCGATCCCTTCATGCGACCTCGCATGAAGAAGATGGAAGGGAGCTACGCTGAGTCCTTCACTCCTGGTTCTGTAAGTCAGAATTTCAAAATATTCTACTCATTGATAGATTTGCTATTGTATAAACAAATCTTAATTAGTCAATGGCTCTCGTTCAAAGTCAAAACTGTGAATACTATACCGGACATTGGACCCTAATCATTTGGGGATCGTATGTTATTTAAAACTACGAGGGTTAAGTGCAACAGGGGCTTCTTTTTTGCAAGTCACTGTTGTCATTTTTCTGGTGCAGTTGATCTTTTGACTGTATTCATGTATAAAGGCAACGATCTCCGCAACCGGTTAAACGGCTGACTGTCATGCAATCTGAGGTGACCTCAAGTTGATTCAAACACTTTGCATTAAAACTATTGAAGCCATTGATTTGCAAAATGTAGAACCGTTGGTAGATAAAGGGGAAATTGTACAGTGATTTTTGAGCCAACTCAGAAGGCAAATCATTGAGTGTATATCGTAATGAAGAATTTCAAATACCTCACAGTTCTTGAGTTTTGCGCTTGTTGTCATACAGCCTATAACTGGATATGGAGTGGCCAAAGTTGTGGATTCTGGGCATCCAAACTTCAAAAAAGGTGACTTGGTTTGGGGAGTAACTGGATGGGAAGAGTACAGTTTCATTACAGCTCCAGTGGCTTTTTTCAAAATTGGACATACAGATGTGCCACTTTCCTACTATACAGGAATTCTCGGTAAGTTAAATCTTTTTGCAAAACATGCCAATTCTATTCCAGAGATGTTTCTTGTGTTTTTCCTCCTTTAAAATTTTTTGTCTGTAACTTGAGCCTGGCTAAGTTCTTGAGAGCTGAGCTCAGTTCAACAGCATTGGGGCTATGCTGAAGCTTACCTTGAGCTTGCTATTTAGGTTAGAAGAGCTCTCAAGCTGAGCTGACTCATTTTTGTTTTTGTAGGATTTCTTGGGAAAATTGCTATTCATATTTGATTGGGTTGTATGTGTACAATTACTGTTGGAAGTTCACCTACTAAAATCTACCAATCCAGAGTTTTACACTTAAAGTGATTTATTGACTTATAATGGTTCGAATGACTCTTTTTGTATAAACCTGGAATATGATGCTGATAATCAAAGGTAAAAAGAAAATGAAAAAAAAAAAGAAGTGAAAAACTTGATAACTGAAACTCACCCTACTAAACAAGTGAGAGCATGGAGTGAAGCACTATGTCTTTGTTTGTTACTAATACTATGCACCAAAGAAACCGGAAATAAAAAGAAAAACAATCCTGAAGAGGAGAAACATGATCTGCCTTGTACAGCAAAAAGAAGCTTCCTTTGTTTGGCTTATTTTGGCCCATTTAGAATTCTAGAAGATTGACTTCCATATCTATTGGGAATGCTTATGGCTGTTTATGAAAAACATGAATTATGCTTGAGAGTTTAGACATAATAAAAAAATGCAAATCTGAAGGTAGTCTTGCAATATAAATTGTTGACTTTAGATCTGGTGTCTTGTCATTCAGCAAAGTCTCTCATTTTACCACTGGGACCAATGGCATTCTATTTCGCTTTGATGGATTGTGAAAATTACAGATTTTGCGTTAGTGTAGTATTTGAAATGACTTGATTATAATTGAGATCATCAAGGATACACCTCTTATGAGTAATTTTCATTAATCTTTTGCATGATTCTTTCTTCTGTGAGATGTTCGATGCTGCTTAATTTTTTTTTCTTATTTATTCAGTGTAGGCAGGATTGGACTCTAATATGATTATTTTGAATTGTACCTCATAGGAATGCCTGGCATGACTGCTTATGTTGGATTTTATGAACTTTGCTCTCCTAAGAAAGGAGAGTATGTCTTCATTTCAGCAGCATCTGGAGCAGTTGGCCAGCTCGTTGGGCAGTTCGCCAAATTGATGGGCTGCTATGTTGTTGGAAGTGCTGGAACCAAAGAAAAGGTCTGTCTCCCTGGAAGTGTTCACTGTGTCAATTTATTGGTGAATACTCGTTAGTGGCTGCAGTAAGTGGCAGCTTCTAGTTTGAGCTGTCATTAACAGTGTTCATCATTGAAATAAGCAGCTTTTAAGAATATTAAATGCTGCTTTCATTGTGGTGCCTTTCTTTTGCTGCTCCTCAGTAATTTGTTTGCTTCAGAAGTATACCTCTCAACACATAATTGCATTATCGATCGTTTGATAGTCGAATTTTTTTTTTATGGAGAAATAGGCTGGACTAGAATGGCTATCCCATTAACCAGCTTCTCTTGATGCGCTTGCCCTTCCTTCTTTTGGTGCTCCTCAATAATTTGTTTACTTTAGAAGTATACCTGTCAACACATAATTACATTATCCATCGTTTTATAGTTGAATTTCTTTTTTATGGTGCAATAGGTTGGACCAGAATGGCCATCCCATTAACCAACTTCTCTTGATGCGCTTGCGCTTCCTTCTTGTTACAGGTTGATCTGTTGAAGAACAAATTTGGGTTTGATGAAGCTTTTAACTATAAGGAGGAGCAAGACTTAGAAGAAGCTTTGAAAAGGTTAGTGTTTGTAGATGCTCTGAAAGGTCAATGTTATGCAACCAGAAATTTCCTTCCAAATTATGTGACTCAGAATGATGTAGTCCATTAGTCTCCTTGCGTTTCAAAATGCCTCCAATATTTTCCTCCATATGGGAATTCCTCCAAATAAACTACTATGGTAACATGAAGCCTTAGGATCTATAATGTTCACCATGGAGAACAGAAATGCTGGTTGGATAAATTTGGATGTCCCAGACTCTCTGTGAAGTAATCCATGGCGGAAGTCAATATGACTCCACTGTACCTTTTATCAAGAATAGGGTGGTCAGATTAATTGGATGGCTTCTTAGTTTGTATGGTGAGCATTGGAGCATCGTTAAGGTTCTCCCATTGTGACCATGCGGGGGTAAGGTTGCATGTATAACCCCTCCAAAACACCGTAGTAGCGGGAGTCTCGTGCACGAGACTATTTTTTATGTAAATGTGTACGGTTTAAATGCTACTTTCCATCTCAATTTTTCTGGGATCGGTGTCTATCAAAATTCTCCATCTGTGTTCTTTTGTTTGCCAGGTACTTTCCCAATGGCATCGATATCTACTTTGAGAATGTTGGAGGAAAGATGCTTGACGCAGTGCTCATGAACATGAGACTCCGTGGTCGCATTGCTGTCTGTGGGATGATCTCACAGTACAACCTTGAACAGCCTGAAGGAGTTCACAACTTGTTCTGTCTTATTACAAAACAGATTCGTATGGAAGGGTTCGTAGTTGGTGGCTATTATCACCTTTATCCCAAGTTCCTGGACATGATTCTACCTTACATGAAAGAGGGGAAGATTGAATATGTGGAAGATATAGCTGAAGGCATTGAACGTGCCCCGGCAGCTTTGGTTGGGCTCTTCTCCGGCCGCAATGTTGGGAAACAGGTCGTGTTTATTGCTCATGAATGATGCACTTCACTTCACTGTATGTTCCTTGGCTTTGTGGTTTGAAATAATACGCTCCATGGCATGTGCTTTATTGCTGTTGTAATACTAAGTTTGGTGTGTAATAATGCTTTTGCATCATAGTATTCTGGGATGAACTTATAAATTGAATGAAATATATATTACCAACAATAACTGGTATTTAGTGTTGAAATAGAATTGAAAATGATGCTCATAGTATTCAAATGCTGCTCTTGATGACATTTGCATAACATAGCCATTTTTTATGCCCCAAGGTCGACATCTCAAACTAGGACTACACCCCATATCCGAACCATGGACCAGAACCTAGACCCGGTAGCGGACTCAGACTTGGCCTGGACTTAGATCCGAACCTTAACCCAGACCCAAATCCCGAATTTGGGTGGTGGTTGCTTGTGATGGTGATGGTAATTAGTAATGGAAAGTATAAGGAATGACAAATCTTAAATAGGTGAGATTAGGTGTGATAACCTGCATAAAAAATTAATTGATAACATGATAATTGCACTGTTAATTATGTTTTTATATAATTGAGGGTGATTTTTAGAAATTTTAATTGAACAAATGGACTTCAAATACGTATTTTTTTGTGAAAATAAATTGAATGACTATAATATAAGTCATGTTTTATGTTGAAATAAAACTTTGTATTAAATGTTTTTGTCTAAATTTTATAATAATATATAACTATATATATGTGTGCAAGTGCCATTAAGAAGGAAACATAAAATTAAAAGAGTGATAAGTGTTATTAGTGTTTAAAAGAAAAAATAAATAAAAAGAAAAATACTTGAAAAAGGCATGGACAACAAGCCATGCTTGCCTCAACATGAGAATGTCAACCATGTGACGTAAGGCACTAACCTTGGCTATAAAAAGCCTTGTTGAGTTGTTCTGGAGGCCAAAGGCATCGCAAGACAGGAGAGAAAGGAGGAAAGGAGGAAGAGAGAAGGACAGGTAGAGAGAAAAAGAAGGGGAAAAAATAAAGAGGCTTTGGATTTAGAATTGTGCAGTGATTTTAGTCTTAAATTTTATAAAATTGGAATATGTTGTTCTTAATACGACGGTGATCAAATTTATCAAAATTTTATGGTGATTTGAGGTACAGAATAGTATATAATATGCTCTTGTCTTTTAAATCTCTTTGTAAAGAGTATTATTTGATTATTTGAAATTTATATTCTTATTGATTATTTTGATTGATATAAAATTTTGGCACTTTTATTGGTTGATTAGTATTTTGAACTAAATATTTTGAGATTGATTGATACTTGTACGAGATATACTTGTGGCATAATATGATTATGGTACACGCGGGGTGCGATTGTAATTAAAGTCTTGTAGAGTGTAATAGTTCGATATGAGTATGAAATTTAAATGCTCAAGTGTCACTTGTCATGTCATGTCACCAAGATAAATCAACTATGAGACTTTGTTTAATAGAAATTGAGTTATATGACTTATCGAATTGGATTATTGATTTTTTTTATTTATGATTGTTTATTGATTGAATTATTTTGTATTTGATCATTCATATTTTTCTCTTGGAGTATATTATTTCCTGTCATATTGTATAGTTCCCCGTTTTTAATATTTTTTAGGATTATCTCGAAGAGAAGGACCAGAGTTGATATTTGAAGAATCGAAGATGAACGAATTTTAATATAATTTTTAACTTTTATTGGTATTTGAAGATCAAAATTATGATTATGAATTTATTTTGGTGATAATTAATTTGAACAGATTCATTTGTACATTGTGGAGATTATTTTCATTTGAAGGTAATTAGAATTCTGTCTCTGTATTCGGAGATATTTGTGGTTAATTATTGTCAATTAATTTGATCAAATAACGCATCCAGAAAACCGTGGCGTTACATTAGATATTCCATAATAATGTGGATGAATTTTGATTAAATATGTGATTAAACATTAGAATGAACATTACTTAGCTAGGTTCATTAAATTCCCATTCAATCGCTAATATGTATGTTTTCTCCGGTGGAATGCTTTTTGATTCCAAGAGGTAAATGATATTTGTATAAAAATTAGGTTTAACTTGAGTTGAATCTAAAATTTGATGCTAAAGTTACACAACTCAAGATAAAATTTGAGTGGAATCTAAATTCTAACTAATTCAACGTAGAGCGACAAAGTTCAGTTAAAATTTGACTGTTTCAAGCATGGGAGTAGAATATACCCTATCCAACTATCCTTCATAACAAACAAGCTACTAACTCCAAAAAAAAAAAAAAAAATCAAAAACCAAAAACCAAACCAAAAGCAATTACCATTCGTCATGGAGTCCATTTCCAAACGGCACTCTCAACACCACCAAGGACAACAAAAACATCCAAATCCATCGAAACACCCTATCCAATTTTTTATAATTGTGTAGAGTTAAGTGAATTTGTGTCAGATTTTAGTATGTTCATATGAAAAATCACTCAATGTGTGTATGATTTATTTATTAAATCGGTGCAAAAATCAAAATCAAACACGATACGAACTAATTCTATAACACAAAAAAAAATATAATTAGAAGTCACAATTCTATAACACGGTGAATAATTTTTTTAAATGATAATAAGGTGATAAACAATTAGTGATATATTAATTTGTTAAAAACTAATCAAGTGATAAACGTCTCATTTATCTGAGTCTAATAATTTCACTCATTTATCACTCGAATTCAATACGATTAAGCTCAAATTCAATAAGTTCCAAAAGTTTTTTGGCTCAGTTTCTCGTGTTAGCACAAAGGGAGAGTGTTGAAAGTTGTGATAACTTTATTAGGTTATTTGTTTATTCACACACACCGATGGACTTTTAGTCCAATGGTACTCATTGTCTTGTAAAAATTGTATTCTTGAGGTTAAGAGTTCAAGTCTCCCTCTCACTTCCCCTTCTCTCTCCAAAAAAAAAAACAAAAAAAAAATTAGTTTATTCACACATGGTTTGGTACATGAATGCATTCGAGAGTTTTTTTAAGTTCAAGAGTCATTAGTAATATTCATGTATGGAGTCTAAGGGTCATTCGTGAATCTACTTATTATCTAGGATTATGTACTTGTCTAGGTTCATGATAAGAAAGTCCTATAAATTCTAGCATTGTTTTGAGTCATGGGGTGTGTATCCTTGTAAAGAGTGGAAATGAGAAGTACTACGAAATAAAAGTGTCTATGTTCTTCTTCTATATGAGCATTGGTTCTAATTGTTCTTCTTGGTCTAAGTTTTAATTCTTCAACAGTCTTGGGCGTGCAGTCTAGGGTTCTAGTTGCATTATAGGAGAGTATAATTCTCTCAAGTGGGGAAGACGTTCCCGTGGAAAATTATGACTTTTGTGGAGGATATTAGATCCATGGTTCTTAACTTAAGTGACCCGAATTCAATTCAAAAATTGCTTTATGAATCTAATTTAAAAAGATTTTTTGAATTCAATTTTGATTATCTAATAGATTTTGTTTTTTAAGTTACACAATTCCAAATGAAATTTGTATTAAAATTAGGTTTAACTTGAGTTGAATCTAAAATTTGATTAAACTTAGAGTGACAAAGTTCAGTTCAGATTTGACTGTTTGAAGCATGGAAGCAGAATATCCAAGATAATTGATGATGCACAAAATTGGTTTGTATACCACTTGTTAATTAAGTAAAATAAAATGCAGTAAAGTTGAGAGGGAGAAGACCAAGTTTATAGCGGTTCGGTCAAGGGGACCTACGTCCACTTGAAATGGCAAGGATCGCCAGGATTTTATTAACTCCGGTGCAATGGGAGAGTAGGAGATTATAAGCTTTCAGAGAGGAGGAGAGAAGTGTGCTCAAAATGAGTGAGATGCCCCCAAGTGTTGGTGGGACTTACAATTTATAGTGGCTTAGTGTAATAATTGAATAGTTAGTCAAATGGTCATAACGTGTTAGGGCCGTTTAATAGTCATAACGGATTGGGATGACTTTAACGGTAATTAAATATCTTGGCGACCTCTCATCTCCTCAATGAGTAAGGAAGTTATGATGCTCTCCAAAAGACTTGGTCAAAGGATGAGGGAATGTTGACTCTATCCAAACGGCGAGGGTGAGGCCCTTGGATGCTCTCTTAGTGGCATAGAGGAGGTTCTTTGATCACCCTTACTCTAAGGTGGTAAAGGAGAATCTTTGCTGACCTTACATACTTTCTGTTGATGTTGCTCCTTGATTCTTGATGAGCTTGTCATGATTGATTGCGTTGAGCTAGGTTTACTGGATCTATTGGAGATGAGCTATAAACTTAGAGCAGACTTATAATTTGAGTTACGCCCTTGAAATTTGGCCCATCAATAACTAGGAACAATCGAACCAGAAAATAACAATCTCATGGTTAACCATAATTCGATCAAACTCTTTGTGCATATACCCTATCTAACTATCCTTCATAACAAACAAGCCACTAACTCAAAAAAAAAAAAAAAAAAAAACTAAACCAAAAGCAATTACCATTCGTCATGGAGTCCATTTCAGACGGCACTCTCAACACCACCAAGGACAACAAAAACATCCAAATACATTGAACCACCACCATCCAATTTTTGATAATTGAGTAGGGTTAAGCGAATTTGTGTCAAATTTTAATAGGTTCATATAAAAAATACTCAATTTTTATATGATTTATTTATTAAATAGGTGCAAAAATTAAAATCAAACACGACACAAACTAATTCTATAACACCAAAAAAAAAATAATAATAATAATTAGAAGTCACAATTCTGGAACACGGTGAATAATTTTTTTATATGATAATCAGGTGATAAACAGTTAGTAATATATTAATTTGTTAAAAAATAATCAAGTGATAAACGTCTCATTTATCTGAGTCTGATAATTTCACTCATTTATCACTTGAATTCAATAAGATTAAACTCAAATTCAATAATTTCATCTCTGTTCGTATCAAATAATCGACTCATGTTCAATCTTGTCAGCCCTACTCCACACACAAATACACATACAAAATTTAGAATAGGGTCAGCCATTCACACCCTCGGTCAAGAGCAGAGCCAGAATTCCACGTAAGAGGGGAGAAAAAATATAAAGAGAAAATTTTTGAATTTCAAGTATGAAAAATGTACAAAGATTCAAAAATAAATTATTAAATAAAAACACAACACCGATACCATTCATCCTTGACAAAATATAAACAAAAAGGGACAAAATAAATTTATTTTATATAATTTTACTTAGACATACAAAAATCGGACACAACGTTCTTTAAATTCTAAAAAACGTGTACACGTGATTAATTCTGGATTAAATTTCTTATCAATTCATCAGTCATTTTATTATAAATCCTAATTGAGACCATCTTTCATCTTGTTGAGGAACAGATCCATTGGAAGAGCCAAAATTACGTCTAATTGTGTTAGTCCATTATGTGTCACTAAATTACCCAAATACAGTGAGAGATATTTCATATATGTTGTACTCAGGTAAAAGAGTATTTATTTTATTGGGCTAGAGGGTAGTGGGCCACTACTTGCTCAAAAATTTATTGAGTAAATTACATATATAATCCTCAAATCATGATTTTTATGTCAATTAAGCTTTTGAATTTTTTTTTGTGTATCAATTGAGTGTCTAAACTCTCTAATTATATCAATTGAATCCTTATGTCTGCCTCCATTCGATGAAGTGTACAACACACGTGACACAAATGATTTAGAGGAAACTATACATATGACCATCAAATTATAATCTTAGTGTGTTAATTGATCTCTTGAATTCTTTTTTATGTGTCAATTGATCTCCTAAACTCTCTGATTGTGTCAACTGAGTCATTTTGCCTTTTTTTGTAATACGGCTACGTAAGTGGCACACTTTACTGAAAGTAGATAGCATGACTCAATTGACACAATTAAAGAATTTAGAGGCTCAATTGACGTAAAAAAAAATTCAAGGACTGAACTGACACAAAAATTATAGTTCGAGGGTCATATATTTAATTTACTCAAATCTATTTATTAAATAATTTTAAAAATTTAAAGGGGGCAATGCATCATTTTTTTAAGTGTAATGACTTTTAACATAGACATGCATGTGGAGTTATTCATAAACTGAGGGCCCTACAACACAAGTAGCTCCGCACCTGCCCTCAGTTGTAACGCCCAACTCTGGGCGTCTTTTTCGCACACAGCACGCATTATCTTATAAACACATACAAGCCTGTGCTGTTGTTTGTTTTTGGAGAGAGAAATACAAAGTGTGTGTTCTGTGTGTTTTAGAGAGAGAAAGCTCGTAAACTTCGGCAATGGCGGAGGAGGAAGTGAGCAACAAGCAGATAATTCTGAAGGACTACGTGAATGGATTTCCCAAAGAGTCCGATATGATTTTCAAGACGACTACTGTCAAATTTAAAGTTCCAGAAGGTTCGAACGCTATTCTGGTGAAGAATCTCTACCTTTCTTGTGATCCCGCCATGCGATTTCGCATGAGGAAGACGGAAGGGAGCTACGTCGATTCCTTCGTTCCTGGTTCTGTAAGTCTTTCATTTCAAAACGTTATACTTGTTGATGGACTTTACATTCAAAAATTCAGCTCAAGTCCTCCATAATTTGAATCTGTTTCTCTGTTATGACAATTCGAAGTTAATTTCAATCTCTCTCCCTCTCGAATGAGCATGCATGTTTGGCAGATCATTCTAATGAAAGGATTCAGTAGTATCAAGTATGTCTATAAACAATATCTAAATCACTTAATTAGGTTCTGTTGTTGTTGATCACGGCATTACTTCTACGGTTTTAGGAGATGGATTTGTTTTTTAACAATTCTTTAAGTTGTGGGTTACTACTATAATATTGCAATCCAGCGGAAGAGGGTCTTATTGGAAATCAAACAATGGATTATTTTAAGGAACATTAGACCCTAAACAATGGATAAACTAGTTATTGTCCGTGCGGCACAGAGTAAAAAAAAAATATCAATAATAATCATATTTGTATTCACGTTCAAAATCAAATCACAAACATAGGAGAGATATAAAAGAATGTAAGCACCAGTAGTAATGGAGGCGAGCAATGGTAGTAGGGGTGAGTGGTGGTGGGCTGCAGTAGTGGTGGTGGGGGACGGTGATGGTTGTGGTGGTGGAAGCAGTGGATGGCAACGGTGATGGTGGTGATGGATTTTGGGTAACGATGGTAATAGTGGCAGTCATGGGTGACGGTGGTTGTGGTGAGTGTGGGAGGTGGTGGGCTACGGTGATGGTGGTTGGTAGTGGTGGTGGTGGGGCAACAACGGTGGTGGTGGGTTGTGGTGGTGAACAGTGACGATGGCAGTGGTGGGCGACGACGGGTTCTTCTAGGCGACAATGTGATGAGTGATGAGTGATGGCGGATGGCGGTAGGGATGGTGGTAGGTGTGGACAGGGTGGGTGACAATGGCTGGTGATGATAGTGGACAATGACTGGCGGTGGTGGGTTATAGTAGTGGTGGCGGTGGGGGGCAACAATAGTGGTGGCGGGTGCTAATGGTGGACGACAGTGGTAGTGGGGATGATAGTGGTAGTAGTAATAAATATAAGAATGAGATAACGATGGTGATTAATGGTGGCGGTAGAGGACAGTAATAGCAATCGGTGGTGGGTATTGGTAGTTGTGACAAAGGTGATGATGGGTTGGCAACGATGGCAGTAGTGGTGGGGCAGTAGAGGTAGTGGTGGGGGTGGCGACGATGGTGGTGGTTGTGGTGGGGTGGTGACGGAGGCGACAGTGGTGGTGGTGGTGGTGGTGGGGTGACGGCTGTGATAGTGGTAGTGATGGTGGAGCAATGGGGGTACTGATTGTAGGGGTGATAGTGGAACAGTGGTTGTGGATGTAGGGTGATAGTTGGACAGTGACAGTGATAATAGGGTGGTGGCGGCGACGGTGGTGGTGGTGGTAGAGTAGCGCCAGTGGTGTTTGAGGCGGTGATGGGACGACAATGGTGGTTATGATTATTGTGGCAGAGGTACTAGTAGGGTGGCGGTGGCGGTGGTGGGGATGATAGTGGGGATGGTGGTGGGGGTAATTGTGATGGTGGTGGGGCAGCGGGGTAGTGGTGGTAGGGCGGTTCTAAATATTACTTTTTTTAAAAAGTAATTATGAAAAGTTACAAATTCTAGAAGTATTTTTGAAATGTCATCCCAAACACCTTTAGAGACTTATTTTTCCTATTAAATTTAGAGTGTTAATATTAATCATTGGATTAACTTTAAAGTAAAATTTAAAGAGATCTCAATCGCGAAAAACAAAAATCATTTTGTTTATTTTTTGAAATTTAAATTGCAATGTTCTTTATTTTACATATATAGGATTACGATAGTAGCCCTTACCTGTGAGATGTGTATATTATGCATCTATTTTATTATAGAAAAAAAAAATGACAAGAACCATTCAACAACTTTTAAATTATTTTTCCTATTTGGTTGGAATTAATATCTGTGATCTATCTTCCTTGATGGTTTCCTTTAAACTATTAAGGTGTTTTCCACACATCTACATCTGTTGGAACTTCTTAGCACTCATTGAGACTTCATTAAATGGTATGCCACACATTATATAAAGGTCAGATTTTTATAGTCTCTGAAATTTTTGTTCCAATGAATTCTGTTTTGATGTTTTATTGTGGCAACATCACATTATTCAAACAGTTTTTGTTTAAGTCCATTATCCTGTGGGGCAATTTGCTCACTGCAACAACTGTTGACATGGTAATTATGGCCTTCTTATTCATCCCACATACATTCCGATAGAGACGAAATTATGAAGGATGATATATGGGCCCTTTTTTACACAAGTTTATTGTTGTAATTTTTCTGGTTAAGTTAATCTTTTGAATGTATTCAGGTATAAAAGCACTGATTGCATTTTGTTCTTGATCTCATACAGCCTATAACTGGACATGGAGTGGCTAAAGTGTTGGATTCTGGGCATCCAAATTTCAAAAAAGGTGACTTGGTTTGGGGAAGAAGTGTTGGATGGGAAGAGTACAGTCTCATTACAGATCCAGAGACTTTTTTTAAAATTGGATGTACCAATGTGCCACTTTCCTACTATACTGGAATCCTTGGTAAGTAAATCTTTTTGCAAACCATGACACTTCTGTTCCATTGGGAGATGTTTCTCCTGTTTGTTCCTTCTTCTTTAAAATAATTTGAGCCTGGGTTAGTTCTAGGGAGCTGAGCTCAATTTGGTAGCGTTGGAGCTATGTTCAAACTTGCCTTGTGCTTGCTGTGATACTGGTTAAATGAGCTCTCAAGCTGAACTGAGTCAACTGACCCATTGTAATTTTTGAAGGATTCCCTTGGAAATTGCTAGTCGTAAAAGGTTCGGTTGCATGCATACAATTTCTATATGAACTACAGCTACAAAAAACTACCAATCCAGTTTTTTACACAATACAGTCATTTCCTGTATTAGGACTTGGATGATTTTTTTTTTGTGCAAACCTAGAATATGATTGGTCATCAAAGGCAAAAAATAAAAAAAATGCAGACCTGGAGTAACTAAAGAGACCTTACTTAACATGTCAGAGCATAAACTGAGGCACTATTCCTTCTTGGGTAATATTACTGGGCGCTAAAGGAGCCAAAATAAAAAATAAAAAAAAAGAAAAAAACAATTAAATCTTGAAGAGGAAAAACATGGTATGACTTGTGCAGCCAAAAGAAGTTCTATTTTCACCTATTTGGGTCCATTTAGAAGTTGAGAAGGATGATTTTCTTATTTAATGGGAACGCCTATTGCTGCTTACCCAAAAACATGGATTATGCTTGAGAGTTTGTAGTTGCATTTCTTAATTCTTTGGATAATTCTTTCTTCTATGCTGCTTAAGTTATACACTTTTCCATTTGTTAAGTTTAGGCTGGATTGTATTTCTAATATGACTAGTTTGAATTGTACCTCATAGGGATGCCTGGCATGACTGCTTATGCTGGCTTTTATGAGGTTTGCTCTCCTAAGGAAGGAGAGTTTATCTTCATTTCTGCTGCATCGGGAGCAGTTGGTCAACTTGTTGGGCAGTTTGCAAAGTTGATGGGCTGCTATGTTGTTGGAAGTGCTGGAACCAAACAAAAGGTCAGTACCAATATGAAAAAGTTCTAGCATTGACAAGAGATGAGTTAAAGATGTGGCGGGGCAGTTGACTAGGCCCTATCACATACAGACAGCAATATATTATTGTCACCCTAAATGCTACTACCTCTTTGCTAAGCATAGGAATGCTTGATTGAGAAAAGCAAGCAAAGAAGCAGCATGATACAGAATATGAAGGGGCTGGTGGTAGAGCCAATGACCAGAATACCCAAGGTTTCAAACAAAACTCAAAGTAACGTATAATTTGACCCAAAAGATGTCACATTGGCCAAAACTCAAAGTAATATAATTGTGGGTGTCTCGTGGACTGATCTGCTCTTTCTAGATTTTGCTCCTTCCTTCAGTTAGGTGAGCCTTCGCTTTTTGGGTCGTCTTCTACCCAATGCGGCACCCCCATTTTTTACACCTGGAGAAGCTATGACAAACAAATAAAGTAGCCTGATGTTTGGATCTAACAATACCTTTTCAGCTTTTTTTTTTTTTGCTCCACCTCATTAATTTGTTTGCTTGAGAAGTATACCTGTCAATGCATGATTGCATTATCGATAGTTGATAGTTGAAAATTTGTGACAAGGGGTAGCTATGTTGGACTAGAATGGCAATTAGATTAACTAGCTTCTCTGTCCTTGTTGCAGATTGATCTGTTGAAGAATAAATTTGGGTTTGACGAGGCTTTTAACTATAAAGAGGAGCACGACCTAGACGCAGCTTTGAAAAGGTCTGTTTTTATATGCTCTTATTCCTTTCAAAACAAAGGGCCATCAATATCATGATACTTGCGAAAATGTAACTACTACTTTAGGGCATCTGGGAATTTTAGTTAAAAATCTTATTTTATGAGAATTTTCCTTCAAACTATTGTTGTACTATGAAGCCTTAAAACCTAATTATAAACATAGAGAAGTGAAATGTTGACTGGCCAAGTTTGGATGTCCTTGTCAAGGAAAGCATTCCCCAAGTCACTGCATGACCCCAGTGTGCCTTTTATTAATAATGGTAATGCTCTTTGGACTTAGTTTGCTACCTTATGAATGACAGTACTTGAATCGATTGTGGGACCTTAATATTAGTTGGGATCCACTTAAAAAAGAACAATAGATTCGGTCAGTAAATTAGTTCTAAACAATATTATGGTGTGAAGAATATGTTGGTTGCTTGGGGGGAGGGGGTGCCCACCCTAAAATTTTTTTTCTTAACATTATCTATGTATGTTTTAAATATTTCTTAAACATACATAATTAGGTCTACCCTATTATTTTCTTGTGATGTCCATTAGAATAGACTCATAACTAAATATTGACCAACTTTTAGACAAGTTTGGATTGGTTTTCTTACTCAAAAAAAATTAGGACTGATATATCCATTAGGTTACCTATTGTGGCTTTAAAATTGATTTTATCAATTGTAATTTCAATTATTTTATTATTTTTTTTGCTCATTAAAGATGAAGTACAGACTGAGGCATGTGAAAAAATAGAAAATTACAAGTAAAAAATAAGACTATATAATAATACTATTAGGTTCCTGGGTTAGTTCAGTATCCTCGAGAACCACCGCCTTAACTTCCTGTGGGATCTATGTTCCATTGAAGGTTTCATTAAAGAGAAAGCATTTTTAACTATAGAGACTATAAAAACTGTACGTAACCAAATGGGCGAGAAGAGGATGACTGATAGTATGATAGTATATATAAAGAAAGACATTCTCGATGGTATTTATAACAAAGTTATTATGTAATGCTTTTAAATGACAAAAACTCATTGGGATCAATTGAAAATAGCTATAATTAACCTCATTTTTTGTACAATGTTAGAATTAATCTCTTTGATTTTGTTTGTTTGTATGCAATTTGTATACCCGTTTTTTGGCCCTATTATGTTGAATAATTATTTCAATAAATATAAACATATCATTCTACTTGGCAAAAAAAAAAAAAACTAAAAGTTTGTTAAAGCGCCCACCCAAGACTAATTTCCTGGCTCCGTTCCTACATGTACGTGTATCTTTTCAACACTGGCCCGAGCTTACTCTTTGTATGTTAGTTTCCATCTTAAGTTTCGTGCATTTGTAGCTATCAAAATCCACCATCTATTTTATTTTGTTTGCCAGATACTTTCCCAAGGGCATCGATATCTATTTCGAGAATGTTGGTGGAAAAATGCTTGATGCGGTACTCCTGAACATGAGACTCAATGGTCGCATTGCAGTCTGTGGGATGATCTCACAGTACAATCTTGAACAGTTTGAAGGAATTCACAACTTGGTCTTCCTTATCATAAAACGAATTCGTATGGAAGGATTCATAGTTTTTGATTATTATCACCTCTATCCGAAGTTCCTGGACATGGTTCTACCTTACATAAAAGAGGGCAAGATTGACTACGTGGAAGATATAGTTGAAGGCCTTGAAAGCGCCCCGACAGCTTTGGTTGGGCTCTTCTCTGGTCGCAATGTTGGGAAACAGGTGGTGGTTGTTGCTCATGAATGATGCACATCTTTTTACTGTAAGTGCTTTGGCTTTGTTATGAGATTGTACTCTGTATGGTATACATTTTGCTCTGTCATCTTTTTCAATAAGTTTCAACTTTTTAGACACATTTCTTTAGCAGAAATTAAAAATGACAAAGAAATGATTAGAATGATGGAACTTTTCAGCCACATTAATCATGGAAATCAATTTTTAGCCCTTGATTTTATCCAAATTGGAGCTATGTATGAAATGCCTGTTCTTTTAAATGCTCAATCATTGCACAATATATATTTTCACACCCGTGTGGCTCGGAATTGAAATTTTCTATCAAGTAGTTGATGCTTATTTTACATTATTTTCTCCTTTTCAGATTGGCATGAGCGGTGTAGAAACATAGTATGCTGGATTGCCAATTTATGTTTATATTAACTATAATGGTTACAGAGAACATGGACATTATAATAAATTCAAAGTTGTACTATTATTTGTTCAAAAATGTAAACGACCGGGTGTGACTATTATGTAACCACTATGAGTTGATTAACTATGTCATTTATGTTGGAATGTGGGTTGGGTCAAGTTCGTTATGGCATAACGTGCTCAGGTCATGTGATGCGGAGCATTATAGGTTCCAGGATCCAACTGGAATAGGCATATCCATGGGTGGAGCGATGACAGTCCCAAAAAATTTGGCCACTGCTCGGTCCAGAATAGAGAGGTGCCTGGCTCAAACCCGATTGCGAGGTGCTAACCCAGGCTGCAGTCTGGCTTGGCCTTTTTTATTGGTCCATAAACCCACCCAAAATTGGAAAGCCCGTCTAATTTCAAATTATTAGTTATAATTTTATGTTTTGCTTCATAAGTTATTAATTACAACTTTTCTCGTATATATATATATATATTTTGTAGTTTGTTTTGGTAATAGAAGAGAAAGTGATGGGCCTGGCCCAGTCCGGTCCGTTCCACTTTATAAACCTTTTGTTTAAGTCAAAAAACACTTGTTTTTCAACAGTGTTAAGTGTCAAAGGACTATAAAAGATCTTCCAATGACCATTTTAAATTCATCACTAAAAAAATTCAAAAAAAACTTGGTGGTTGGAAGGCAAGAACTCTATCCTTAGCTGGTAGAGCCACACTTGTTAAAGTTGTCACTTCTGCATTTCTTAACTATGTTATACAAACTAATTGGCTGTCACAATCAACTTAACCAGTTGAATAGGCTTAATAGGAACTTTCTCCGGGAAGACACACCTGAGAAAAAGGAAGTACACTTTATTAACTGGAACAATGTATGTATCCCTAGGGAAGAAGGAGGGCTGGGAATAAGAAAAAGCAATGTATGTATCCCTAGGGAAGAAGGAGGGCTGGGAATAAGAAAAAGCAGGAAAAGTAATGTGGCACTCTTATCCAAATTGGGTTGGAAATTGAAAAATAAAGAAAAAGTCATTTGGGTTGAAGTTGTCAAGAGAAAATATGTTGGTCAGGATGGGTCAATCTGGAATGCTAAGGTGGTGAGTTCTTCCACATGGAAAGCTATTGTTAAGACTAAAAATTTAGTGGATATGGGTTCAAAATGTTTAATTGGGGATGGTTCCCAAATTAACTTCTAGACTGATTGGTGGATTGGTAAAGGCCCACTTGTAGATCAGATTAATACTTCTCCTGCTCTAAATTGGGCAAAGCTTTTCAGGAATTTCTTTTGGTTGCGGATGGAGTTTTTTCCAATTTGATTGGATGGTCTTTCCCTTCTGCGAGATGGAACAAGCTTAACATAGATGGATGCTCCAAAGGAAATCCTGAACTAGTAGAAATTGGAGGAATTATTAGAACCGACCAAGGCAAGTGGATTACAAGTTTCTATGGGAGAATGAGTGATATAACGAGCATTCAAGCAGAGCTTTGGGCGATTTTGAAAGGGATTGAACTCCTGCAAAGGCGACAAATTATCCATGTCGTTCTGGAAACAGACTCATTGGAAACTGTCAAGCTACTTTCGATTGATCCAGACCTTTCGATTGAGAATTATGTCCCCATTCTCCACACCTTCACAGAAGGAAACCAATGTGCAGATACTTTGGCTAATCTCAGTGTTCAACAGATGGAGGCTTTTGTTGAGCTACAAAACCCACCACCCCAAATTTCAAATGTTCTTATGGCTGATATGGCTAATGTTGTTTATTCTAGGAACTCTATTTAGATTAGATCTTTTATTTTTCCAATGCATAAAAAAAAAGTGTCCATTTCCAACCCGAAAACGACAACCTCAGTGTATCGCCTTCTACATCGCCCTTCTACACAAGAGAGAAGTCTATAAAGTAGCCATTACAATGATAATATCATGTCATTATTAGTACTTGATATCATGATTTAATAATCAAAATTTACAAATTCTTGTGTCATGTTTCAGGATAAACTCCAACTCCTCTCTAGGCGTGACCATGAGGATTCCTTACTGTAGAATGTCCGGCTTGAATCATAACTATAAACACAAAAAGGCAGCCACTCACTACAGTATCATCAATGTCAAGCAGCAAACCTCGTTGCTCCCGTAATCGAACTCTATTTNGGCAGCCACTCACTACAGTATCATCAATGTCAAGCAGCAAACCTCGTTGCTCCCGTAATCGAACTCTATTTGATAACCAATTAAGAGCTGAAGACAACCCTAAATAGGTACAAATTATCATTAGTCCACCAACTTGGATGGTCATTTCAACACTTAAATTTATCTCTAGGAATCAAAATTGGTGATGTGCAGAGCTTCTAAGTTTTGAACATGAGGGTAGGTGAAGATAGAATTCTAAGCACGTGGCATTAGTTTATTCTCCTAACTAGGCCACTTGCCCACTAGACAAGTCATTGAAAAGTCCACGCCCACCTACTAAATGGACTATTACATATTTTATAGTGTAACGTGGGAGGTAATCAGTTTTGAAATTTGACATTGAATCTATCAATGGACAAATGTTTGGTTTTTTATTCAATATTGATAAGGAGTATCAATTTTAAACATTAATACGAAAAGGACACAAACGAAATTGATTCAAAAGCCCAAAAGGGGTATCTACTTATTTTTAAACGACAAGGAGATGTGCTCTTAGGGAAAACCACAAAGAAGAAAAATTAAATTTGCCCACTAATTTACATTGACATGAATGTTGCGTGAGTAAAAATGACACAAATTGAGCATAAACGACACTCATTGATCCGATTTGTACAGTTTACAAGTGGCTGTATGGAATTCGGGTTTGCATTATAGCCATGAGTCCGAAATTTAAATGATTGGGATGACTCTCAATCAATTAACCCAAAAAGAGATTCAGAAAGCAAAAAAAAAAAAAATTAAAATAAAATAAAAAACTTGGTTTGATGTTTACTTTCTTCTTTTTATTTTTCTTTCTAAAAATGGTATATGGTTCACAAAACTTCGGTTTATACCGAAATATATGAGAGTAAATGNAGGAAGTACACTTTATTAACTGGAACAATGTATGTATCCCTAGGGAAGAAGGAGGGCTGGGAATAAGAAAAAGCAATGTATGTATCCCTAGGGAAGAAGGAGGGCTGGGAATAAGAAAAAGCAGGAAAAGTAATGTGGCACTCTTATCCAAATTGGGTTGGAAATTGAAAAATAAAGAAAAAGTCATTTGGGTTGAAGTTGTCAAGAGAAAATATGTTGGTCAGGATGGGTCAATCTGGAATGCTAAGGTGGTGAGTTCTTCCACATGGAAAGCTATTGTTAAGACTAAAAATTTAGTGGATATGGGTTCAAAATGTTTAATTGGGGATGGTTCCCAAATTAACTTCTAGACTGATTGGTGGATTGGTAAAGGCCCACTTGTAGATCAGATTAATACTTCTCCTGCTCTAAATTGGGCAAAGCTTTTCAGGAATTTCTTTTGGTTGCGGATGGAGTTTTTTCCAATTTGATTGGATGGTCTTTCCCTTCTGCGAGATGGAACAAGCTTAACATAGATGGATGCTCCAAAGGAAATCCTGAACTAGTAGAAATTGGAGGAATTATTAGAACCGACCAAGGCAAGTGGATTACAAGTTTCTATGGGAGAATGAGTGATATAACGAGCATTCAAGCAGAGCTTTGGGCGATTTTGAAAGGGATTGAACTCCTGCAAAGGCGACAAATTATCCATGTCGTTCTGGAAACAGACTCATTGGAAACTGTCAAGCTACTTTCGATTGATCCAGACCTTTCGATTGAGAATTATGTCCCCATTCTCCACACCTTCACAGAAGGAAACCAATGTGCAGATACTTTGGCTAATCTCAGTGTTCAACAGATGGAGGCTTTTGTTGAGCTACAAAACCCACCACCCCAAATTTCAAATGTTCTTATGGCTGATATGGCTAGTGTTGTTTATTCTAGGAACTCTATTTAGATTAGATCTTTTATTTTTCCAATGCATAAAAAAAAGTGTCCATTTCCAACCCGAAAACGACAACCTCAGTGTATCGCCTTCTACATCGCCCTTCTACACAAGAGAGAAGTCTATAAAGTAGCCATTACAATGATAATATCATGTCATTATTAGTACTTGATATCATGATTTAATAATCAAAATTTACAAATTCTTGTGTCATGTTTCAGGATAAACTCCAACTCCTCTCTAGGCGTGACCATGAGGATTCCTTACTGTAGAATGTCCGGCTTGAATCATAACTATTAACACAAAAGGGCAGCCGCTCATTATAGTATCATCAATGTCAAGCAGCAAACCTCGTTGCTCCCGTAATCGAACTCTATTTGATAACCAATTAAGAGCTGAAGACAACCCTAAATAGGTACAAATTATCATTAGTCCACCAACTTGGATGGTCATTTCAACACTTAAATTTATCTCTAGGAATCAAAATTGGTGATGTGCAGAGCTTCTAAGTTTTGAACATGAGGGTAGGTGAAGATAGAATTCTAAGCACGTGGCATTAGTTTATTCTCCTAACTAGGCCACTTGCCCACTAGACAAGTCATTGAAAAGTCCACGCCCACCTACTAAATGGACTAT